TACTTCTACTATTCAATACTTGGTGAACATTTTTTTACTTGGTTCACACTTTTTGATTCTGAGGAAAAAAGAAATTCTTCCAAATTTACATTAGCACCATCAGATTCTATAGTCTTAGAATCTGGAGCATTAAAATGCCAAATATTAAAATTTATTTGCATGCACCGCCTAGTCCTTTTGGTTGTCCATTTTCTGCTTAATTGCACTACGATTTGGTCACTGTGTCACGCAACAACCATCTAATCTATGTAAATCTTTTTGACATTATGAGGCAAAATCTTCGGTAATAACTCTAACAGTTCTTATAATTTTAATAGAATAATTTAAGTTTGAGAAAATTTAAATACTTTAGGATGAATTTTTTTATTTAGATATACAATTAAAAAAAATTAAAATTTAAACATTTGTAAAAATAATTTAAAATTGTAGAATTTTAAACTCTCCTAAAAATGTAAGAATATGAAAATTTTCTTTCTCTTTCGTCTCTTATATCCATTTTCTCTCTTACAAAGTCAACATAAAAAATATTAATAGTTTTTTTAATCATTAAATATTTTAAAAAATAATTAATTATTAAATATGAATTTTTAAAATTATCAAATATTTAAAAATTAGGTAATATTTAGTTATATAAAATTTAATCTTAAAATTGTTCTCTTTCTTTCTTTCTATATATAGTAGTCTAGTTTAAAATCAATTTTATCAATGGTAGAATTCAAATTACCTTATACAAATTAAGAATTTAAAATTTTAAAAATTTGAATTGGTTTATCTAAATAAAATATCTAAAGAATAATAAAAATTAAAATTAAAATAATTCAAATTTTAAGAATTTTAAATTCATTAAATTTTTAAAATTTTTAATCCAAATACACTATCAGAGTTCTGTCTATAATAATCGCATCATGAGAAAATGATATAGAATCTCTCATAAAATTAGCTTATACCTAATATTTTTAAAATCAAACCAATTATTGAACCAGTCAAGACATTAATTCGAGGTTTAATGATTTAATTATGATTTAAAGATATTAATAAAATAGTATTTAAATAATACATAAAAATAATATTATATAATCATAGTATAATAATTTTATAAAATTAAAATAAAAATAAAACATCATCTTATACATTTTTATTTTTTTAAAGTGCATGTAAAAGTTTAAATATAATATTTAATTTTAAATTTTAATGAAATATTACAAAATATATTAAAAGTTGGGTCGATTTAGTTTTTTTAAAATACGGATCAATTTTTTTTAAATTGGATCGGTGTGGTGCAGTTATCCACTTTTTACTCATATATGGATTGGTTTTTTTTAAAAACCAAACCGAATCGAACCGATCCGAATCTTGAAGATTCAGAAAGAAGTTAGAGCAATAATTGTAAAAATTTATATTCTTTCTTTCAGTAAAAAATTTTGTACTTAATTTAGTTGTATCATGTATTGATGGTAAGACAAAATAAAAAGTGATTTCTCAACTTTAATTATATGTTATTGCTTGAAGTCTAAAATTGCTTGATTGTAAAGAATACTTATTTGTTGAAGTCTAAAGAGACTTGATTTTAAAGAATATTTGTTTGTTGGAGCCTGGAGAGGCTTTATTGTTAAAAATACTTGGTTATTGAAGCCTGAAGAGACTTTATTGTAAATAATACTTGGCTATTGAAGCACGAAAATATTTTGTTGTTCAAAGAATATTTAGGTTGAGCCAAAAGTGACTTGAGAAAAAATACTTATATCTTTGTAAAAGATAGTAAAACTTGATCAGATTAATCAAGAATTGGACATAATCTTGGTGATTTACCTGAATTAGTATAAAAATACTTTGTACTTTTTGTTCTTAACTCTTCATCTACACTCATAAGATATTTTGATATTACTTCACTATTTCAAAAAAGTGTTAATTTCTTTTTATTGACATTATTTAATATCCTTCTAGTATTTATCTTTTTTCCACAGTTTAACATCCTGTTTTTCAAAAAATAGATAAAAAATAGTTACTTAAATAATATTTATAATATATATTTAATTAATTTATTTAGTTGAGCTCATAATATAAACAAAAGGCCTTTTATTAATTAAAATAAGTAAAAATAAATGTGGGTTAGAGGGTTATCTTATGAGTTTGAACTTTAGAAATCCAACCCATAGTCTAGCCTACTAATAAAAAAAAAGGAAGAATTAGGTCATATATATTAGTTTATTGAAACCATAAGAGAACCTTAAAAGGAAATCCTTAAGGAAAATCCTGAGGAGCGTGTGGAGTAGCTTCAAATTGTGGAGATCGTGCTTCTTGTTCTAGAGATTGTCATCTAAGTTAAGAAATAATGCATTTTTGTATCACCTTTCGGGCACATATGAGGGTATAGATAATGAGGCGATCTCTAAGCTTCCTTACGGCTTATAATTGAATGTTTGTTGAGATGATTGATGTTTTGAGATTGATATTGTTTTATGATGATAGATTGTTATCATTTTCATGTTTATGATGCTGGATTGTGATATGTCATATGTCTAGTTGTTTGAGGGCTAGGGTTTGTATAAATTGAAGGTTTGATATGATTTGAATGATCAAGTCTTAATCGGTGGTTTATAATTGTGTTATGAGTGAATTAAGAGGTTTTTATTGATTGATTTGGAGTAATAAGTGTTAAGAGCAAATTGGAAGGGTCGAGTTGGAATGCAATTTTTTGAAGTGCAAAATTTGTGATCACACCAAGCTTAAGTTCAAGGCATTGGGTGTGACGAGGGCAAAAAGGCTCTTCCCTCTCCATGTTAGGCATGGGAAGTGTCGTGTCGAGCATAGGATCCATAGAGACGTCCTCGATAGGAGTATTCATGGATTGGTTTTTTTTTCAGAAAACCAATCCAAACCGAACCGAACCGTTTTATAAAAGTAGATCGGTTAACTGATCCATTTTTAATAAGTGGGTCGATTTAGTTTTTTTAAAATACGGATCAATTTTTTTTAAATTGGATCGGTGTGGTGCAGTTATCCACTTTTTACTCATATATGGATTGGTTTTTTTTAAAAACCAAACCGAATCGAACCGATCCACTTTGTAAAAATGGATCGGATAACTGAACCGGTTTTATAATATAAATGACTAAATTATATTTTTATAAGAAAATTATTTAAAAAAACAACATTTTTTTTTTTATTTTATAATTTTTATTAAATATATTTATTTATTATTATAAAAATATTTTCAAAAAAATTAAAATAAAAAATATTTTTTTAATAAAATATCAGTTCGATCCAATTTTTTAGATCAATTTTGAGTTAAATAATCAAATTTTGATCGATTCTTTACACCCTAGTTTTGTGGTTCTTCCAAATTAGTACATAGATTAACCAATTACCAATTCGATCAATCAAGTCGGTAAATCCAATCAAATTCTGACAATATAACTTATAACAATTCCCATCAACTTGGACTTTTTCAACTACTAACAGTATGCTTGGGTATGCGTTTTTGTAAACGTAACCATATTTTTTCACTTTCCAATTCAAGAATTGAGAAGCCACAAAATTGTTGCTTTGAGTTGAACTCACGTTTACACGATTTAAACGTCAAATCAAACACACTCTAACTTGTTAAGATTAATTTCAACACAAACTCATGTGAATTTCCCTTAAATGTTTTCACAGTTTTGGCATCCACTTAACTTCAAAAGAAAGATAAATTGAGGTTTATAGAGTGCCAAAAGCTAAGTAATGATAAAAAAAAAATTTAATTCATGATGGTTCCCCTTTTTTTCTATCCTATTTTTGAGTTAAATTTAACCATAAAATATATTTTGTCAATATCCATCTATTCAAATCCCAATTGAATCTTCCACAATCTTGTAATGCAATTCTTCAATGTGGCGAGTTTCCTAACTTTTCAAAAGTTAGGCAATAAGAAAATTTTGCCATGTAGTACATAAATATTAAAACAAAAAGGATTTACCCTTCCTTTCAAAAAGAAGGAATTTCAAACCTCAAAATCAACATAAATAAGATTTTGTGCAAAAGGATAACTTTTTGATCATAGATGCAAAACAATTTGTTAGCCAAGAACATTTTCTTAGAATGATATCAATATACTTAGTTTCTTAGAACTTCACATCATTTATTAATGATGTAGTCACTATACACATTTTAAATTAAAACTTTGTTATCATCATTATAATTTTTATTGATTAAAAAAATTCAACAACTTTTTCAAGCATGACAATAATTTAAAACTCTTAATTTTCATAACCCAACAAAATAGACAAAATATTATTACACCATATTTTATACAAACAATATTATTAAACTTGATTAAAATTAAATTTTTAGAGATATAATTGTTTATGAGGTTATTTTCTACAACTACTTTCAATATCTTTCTTGGTATATCTCTCCCCTTCAAACACAATTATTTTTATAATTATAGTTAATTTTAAGTTACCATATAAATTCATTCAAATTTTTAATTTGCACATTATGTGTGATTTTTCTTCATCTTCAAATATGCTATACATTACAATAACATTAACTATGTTAGAATTTAAGATTTGGTGTATATTATCTAAAGTCAACCTATAGTTTGAAAATAAGAATTTAATGTAATGAGTAACATTTTAACATGTACATTATATTTATATTAATTTTACATGAAATATATAAATTATATTATAATTAAAATTTGTATTATATAAATATTTTCAATATATAAATTATACCTTATATTTATAATAAATATTTCATACTATGATATAAAAATAAATATAGCCATTAATATCTTTTTTTAATAAATTATAATTTAATTTTAAAAAATTAAAAATAATAAATTAAGATATAAGACATAAAAAAAACCTCTAAAAATATCCTTATTAGAAAAAGAATTCTTAAAAATGTTATAGTTTTTTTTATACCTAAAAATGTTATAGTTAAAAAATAAAATTGTTCAAAGGACTTTGGTTTCATATAATCATTATAATTGTTATATAGAGATTATAACATAATCTATGCAATTAATTTCTAGATGAACTTAATGGGAAGAATTTAATGATTTTAATTAGGAACAATTTTGGTAACTGAAAGGATTTGAAGTTCGAAAGCATCAAAATCGGAGCCCTAAAACGAGAGTGCAACAGCACGTTCCGACCCGAATCGAAACAAAACCTGATACCATGTAATAATAGCGAAACCGATCGAGATCCAGAGGAGAGAATCGGAACCTGGCGCGCGATGGCGGTGATGACGAGGAAACGACGGCGCATGATGGCGGAGGCGGCGGCGGCGGTGACGGCGCTCCTGCCGGAGGACCTGATGATCGAAATCCTGGCTAGGGTTAGGGTTAGCAACCCGCTGCAATTGAGGTGCGTGTGCAAGCGGTGGAAATCCCTAGTGGTGGATCCCCAATTCGTGAAGAAGCACCTCCACAAATCGTTCTCGGACATAACGGATCTCGCTTCCAAGGCCATGGATGACATGAACGCCTTTCAATTGCAGCTTAATTACGCCCCCGCCTTGGCGGAACTCCAAGAAGAGGAGGAAGAAGAAGAAGAAGAAGATGAAGAAGAAGAAGAAGAGGAAGAAGAAGAAGAAGAAGAAGAGGCAGGTTCATTGGTGAACGAGTTGGCTCAGTTGGATACGATGTTGGTGATGGTTCGGTCGCTGAAAGGGTGCTTGGAAACGATTAAGGTGGACGTGCAAGCCATCAGGGAGAGAGTCAAGTGTCTCCAGAGTTTTCTTCAAATTTACCTCAAGACACTTTCTTCCTCTTCTAACTGATTCGCTTTTTCCTTCTTTTTCCTTTTCTTTAATTTTGCAACTGTTGATTTATAAATAATCTCACATGGTTGCTTCTTTTTTTTTTTTTTTTTGAAAAAAAAATATTTCAAGTCACGATGAAGTTGTGTTGGAGTAAGATATTGGGGGGTTTTCATGCCATTGTTCGTGTTCAGAGTTGGAATCAGTTTTTTTTTTTTTTTTTTAATTTAGTTGAATGCAAACAACGTAACAAGTTTGCGTCGTAACCCGATAGCTTTGTCTTCTTCTAGGTGGAACGAACAACTCTGACGCAGCCATTTTTATTATTTCTTGCTCTAGGTTTATGTGAAATTGTAAACTATTATGTTTCTGTCCCAATTCTGAAGGTAGTGAGCTCTATATATGCTAGATATATATATTTTTACAAATGTTATTTAATGATTTGAATGGCTGGTGTGATAAATCATGCCCAAGAGTTTCTCATTGTTGCTACGTGCATGGTGGAATTTTAATCTTCCATGTCACATGTCAAAATATTTCCTTAGGTTCTTTTGTTTTTTGTTATGACCCATTTTTATTATCCGGTGAGAGCTTAGACAGCGACAAGCATTCATCTTTATGCACATACTCAACTTCTACTTGGTGTAGAATACGGAGTATATTTTGATTTTAAAAATGTTGATTATATACTAAATAATGTAAGATAAACAGTTAATAATATATAAATTGTAATGTGAATTGTTACAGGAGTGGTGCGTTTCTTTTGATTTTGACCAATAAAAAACATATCGGCTCTGGTAAGTTTGCCCTCATCTGTTAACACTTAAAAAAAAAACCATAAATTTTACACCTTTATCTTTAAAGATGGAATTGTCCCTTCTCCATTGTCCATAAAGTTTTTAACATTTAATAAAATGGGACGCTTTTTTTATGATTTAGTCCTAAGGTATATCACAGGCAAAGATTTGTATAATAGTTAATTATGAATTAGCTTAATGTAAAGTGAGGAATATATATAATTTTTATGGATAAAAAAAATGAGAAATGTATAAAGTAAGAGAGAAAACTATATGCATCTTTGAAGTAGTTAACACAAGTTCTTTATTAAGAAAAAGCATATTTGATTATTTATATAGATAAATTTATCTTTATTTTTCATGTTTATATAAAATTTATTTTAAGTTAGAGTTGTCTAACTGTGCCAATTCAATCCCCTTAATTGGATCACTACGGTATAATGTTTTAAATAGGTTGACTTAACTTAGCTTATTTTTTGGTAGATCAAAAAAAAGTTCCAGCTCAAATCAATTTATCACATGTTGGTGGATTGATTCATTATATTTTTTTAAAAGAAAATAAAAACAAAAAAATTAATTAAGTGTTTTATATTTTTAATAAATAAAATAAAGATTTACAATTTTTCTATTAAAAAACCAAGTCAATCATTTATTTCAAATGCAAATACAAATGTAAATACCAATCAAAATTTTAAATGACAACTACGTAAAATATATATAATTTTATTTTTAAAATTTTTTTTAATTGTAGTGAGTAACAAGCCAACTTGACTCACCTTGGTTCATAACTATTTGACTCATAAGTTAAGTTAGTCAAGTTAGAATTTAACGAAAATTAAAACTCAAATTTATTTTCTAATTCATCCCAAACCAAACTTTTGATAAATCAGGTTGACTCACCAGGTTGGAATTTATTTTGACACCTGTACTCTAAAAAGTTTCAAATTTTCACATTGTGGATCCACATTTTGTTGGTTCTAACATTGAACCAAATACACAATAAATTAGTTATGTTTTGTGTGTTTATTTTTACATGGATTTTTAGTTAAATAGTGGGTGTTTTGGTTGCACATTTACAAAGGATAAACACACATACTTGATGTAAAAATTGGAAGTTGTTTGAAGTACATTTAATCATAAATGTGAGTATTTGATGCCAATTTTGCATGATGCAACGAGATTTCAAAACACACATGGTACAAGTAAAAAAAAAAATAAATAAAAGGAGGACATGAGTTTGATTTTCACTACTGATGTGAAAACCTTATTGGTGGATAATTTGTAAGAATCTTTTTTAGTGTAACATTCTAAGTATACCAGAATAAAAATTTAGAGGTTGTACAAATGTGAGACTGTGTCGATGATGATTTAAAAGAATTAATTAATATTACATATACAAACAAGATACACCTATTTTTTGATAGTTTATCACTTAAAAACTTTACAGTTAAGTGTGTTTGACTTGGAATGATTTAAGGATGGGTAACCTTTTGAGAAATTTCTTATAATATATGTAAGTAAAGACAAAACTCATTGAAAAGTCTTGTATCAACCTGTGGGGACAATCGTTGATCTAGAAGGCAACCAAGAATCTCAGAAAGGGCTTCCTCTAAAAGATTCTATCTGGTGAAAAATTCTAACCAATAAAGAATTGTATGAAATGTCACCATGTGAAGTATTATGGAGTGCAGTCGCTAAGTTGTCAAATTTGAAATATATTACACTAAGCATTTAGAGCATTGAGTGTGCCCTAATCTTGATTAGCCTCTAAGATGTAACTCACCTAAACTTTCAAACACTAAAACAAATACAAATCAGAACACACCAAATGTAAAAGTACTTTAACTAAGATTGATTATAATTATATTTGCATTTTTCAATTGTATAAATTTGTTCACTTTAGAAGAGTCAAACCTAAATATAATGTCACATGCATATGTGAGTCAACTAGTGTAAAGTTATCTTATGTTAGATATTCGGATGAAAAGTTTTGTCTTTTTTAATAGTCATATCTTACTCACTATACTTAAAAGGATAAAATATATTCATAGTTATAAATTTTAAATACATGTATAACAATTTAAAATTAGTTATAATAATATCATGAGTAAATTACACTCGTACCTCTTGTATTTTTTTTTAGATTGTAGTCAATACGCCCCCTCTACTTGGATTTATAGTGAGACCCCTTAAAAGTTGAAAAATGTTACAATCGCACCCCTTGAGTCCTCTTTCCTTTAGTGAAATCCCTTAAAAGTTGAAAAGATGTTATATTTGCACTTTTGGGCTCTTCTTCCTTCACGGAGTCTTCCTCAAGCTCCACCACCACCTCATCCTCCTTCTTTTCCTCTCCCTCTAGCACCTTGCTCATATACACCAATTTCCCCCTAAGCCTTGACCATGTTTGCCCACAGCCTAAGAAGCTCAAGAAAAAAACCTCCTTTGATAATACCCTCACCGTTGCATCGTGATGCTATAACCATTACTTACAATTGTTACTTGCAAACAACAACATAATAAGGTGTCATGGCTTACTAGCATGAACATCTACTTAGAAGTTTGGGAGTATCCATGTTAATTATTATATCTCTCACATAAACTAGTTCAACTTCTCCTTGTTATTTCTATATGTTGTAATGGTTGTAGTGTTGTAGTGTAAAGGTGGGGAGCACTCTTGGAGGAGGTTTTTTTTCTTGGTCTTGGGCTGAGAGTAAACATAATTGAGACTTTGGGGGGAGTTGGTGTATATGAACAAGGTGCTAAAGGGGGAGGAAAAGGAGGAGGAGGAGATGGTGGTGGAATTCGATGAAGAATCCATGGAGGAAGCAGAATCCAAGGGCATGATAATAACATCTTTTTAACTTTTAAGAGGTCTCGTTGAAGGAAGAGGAACCTAGAGGTACGAATGTAATATCTTTTTAACTTTTAAAGAATCTCACTATAGGTCCAAATAACATAAAGATATTGACTATATCTATAAAAAAAAAACACAAAATATACAAGTATAATTTACTTTAATATCAATTGTTGATATTTTAAATAATGGTTATTAGTTTTATTTATACATTAAAACACACTACTCTTGCTTTTAAAAAAGGCAAGTCGACTAAAATATAACATTGTTGTAGGTTTCTATCCACTTTTCTTTTTATATGTGGAGGGTAAAAGCAATTCATTAAAAAAATTGTGTATAGATATGATTAGTTTTTTTTTATTCATGGAAATCGGACACGGTAGAGATTACACTCAGTTTATTATTCACCTGAGCTAGATCCTATGATTGACTTTTTATTTTTCAATTTCAAGAGAAACCACCAAACGTTGTTAACGTATGGCTTGTTTATTTTATATTTGCATAATCACGATCACCGAATTTTGATTTCCGAACAAATTTTTTTTCATCAAACTTTTAAGGTTTGAAACTTTTCACCAGCTAATGCACAAATTTATTCCCATTCATGTTTCGATAAATTTCCTATAATTAGAAAAGAAATAGAAAGAGAGAAGAAATAAATATAAAATAAAATAAGTGATGAATAGAGATAAAGAAAAAAATATATAAAAATACATTGCAATAATGAAATGACTCGTATACCATTAAACAGACGGTCATGTGGGGCTTGATATAGTCTTTATTTAGAATTAGAATGTAGGTAAGAAAAACGGCCAGGCCACGAAGTCCGAGACCATGTAATACTGGCAATCGTGAAACGAGGTTAACACCGATGCCAAATGAAAATTTTAAACCATATCTTAGCTTAGATGAACGTTGTAGATACAAAATTTTCCATTCTAATACGTGCTATATTTCAAACAAAACTGTCAATTGAAAATGCTGCACAACTTTATGAACATGAAAGTTAACTAATGTACAAGTCATCCTAAAAGGAAAAGGTGCCCTCAAAATAGAGAAAATATGTTCATATTTCAGTGTCAATTATGAGCTCAGCTGCAGCACCCATTGTACCTACCCCACCAACACCCAACAAAGCAAGAGCAAGTTCCTCCTCGTTCAACTGCCTCAACCCATTGCTCAGTCTCTTCAACACGTGCACATCTACTTCCAGCACCCAGTTAGGTGTGCAACCTACCATCAAGCTCACAAAACCTGACACATAGGCACGCCAAGTAGCTGAATCACAGCCTAGAGATATCTTACCATCAAGTGCACTTGCCAGAAACTCCATGTGGATACCCAAAACCTTAGGTCGTCGCTTTGAAGCTGATGATGATGAATCAACTCCCCAAGCAAAAGCACCACAAAGAACTGCGAAGTAAGCAAGTGCATATCCACCAAGCATTGCAACCATTCCACCTGACTTCTCTTCCTGGTCTAATCTGTGAACAGATATGAACCAGGATGGCAAAGTTTCTTTTATTAATAATTGAACCAGCATCAACCCTCCTGATATCCATACTAAAGAGGCCCCAAGGGCTGCAGCAAGCTTCACCCGAGTCATTGATGCAGCCAGTGAAACCTGTCCATATTTTATACCATCTTTGGTTGCTTTCAACTTTTCTAATCGCTCCCTTGGCAGCCCATTACATACTATTTCCCTCACAGAGTGCATCAAGATGGAAACAATTTCTTCTGTCAAGAAAACAATATCCCTGATTGAACGATAAGCGCGTAAATAGAGAATTCCTGGAGCAACTGGGCAAATCCCTCCACATAAATGGGACTT